CAGCAAGCTCTCTGGAGCCCCCTAGGCGTTTTGAAGCAGAAACAAACGGGCTGGGGATAAAGATTGCAACCAAGGAAGTGCCATGGCAGGATGTTTGCGACGGGATTACCCCGGAAGGACACGTGGCAATCCGGGAAGAAGATGCCCAGATGATGGTCACGGTGTTCTCCTAGCGATCGGATCATTCATTCATCTCGGCGCCTCCACCCGACTTGACAAAACAGGCGAACACGAAACAGATTGACGTTCGGATCTGGAACCAACTTTTTGAACTGCACGTTCCACAATATGTGCCGGATGAAATCCACCAGGTGATTACGGATATTCTAACGGAATACCAAGGAGCAATTAGTGTGTCAGACACTGACATCGGATTGTGGTTAGTAATCCAACATGAAATTCAGATAGGAAATCACTCCCCGATTCATTGCAAACCTTATCGTTATTCCTTGATTGAATGCAAAAAGGCTCTCGAACGAATTCGGGAGTTCGAAGCCAGTGGTTGGATTGAACYTGCTACCGGACCTTGGTCCTTTTCCGTAGTATTAGTGCCGAAGAAAAACGGGGCGATTCGCATTTGCATTGATTATCGCAAGCTGAATGAAATCACGATCAAGGATGTGTATCCCCTCCCCCGGATTGAYGATTTGTTGGATGCGATTGGGTGCGCTAATTATTTCAGCAAGTTTGATATTCGGCGTGGCTTCCATCATATTCTGGTAAGGGAAGAAGATCGACCGAAAAGGGCCTTTGTGTTGTTTGAGGGCACGTGGCAGTGGGTTCGGTGTCCGATGGGGATTTGCAATGCGCCTGCCACATTTTAGCGAGCGATGAACATGACGTTCCAGAACTTCGTCAACAAGACACAGCTGACGCAAGGGATGATCAACTTCTGCGTGATCGTGTACATGGACGACATCTTGGTCTACTTGGAAACCGATCACGGGCACGCGCAACACATCGAATGGACATTGGGTGCATTGAGAGACGCGGGGTTCAAAATTGCGCTTGAGAAAAGCGAATTTTTCCTCCCGAAAATTTCGTTCTTGGGCTATGTCGTGACACGTGGAGGATTGCGGCCAGACTCGAGAAAAGTTGCGGCGGTAAAGGAAGCTCCGGTTCCCACGTCACTGACGCAGGTTCGAGCCTTCTTGGGACTAGCGTCGTATTACCGGCGCTTCATCAAGGGCTTTGCCGCGATTGCACGACCACTAACGAATCTTTTACGGAAGGACCAGCCCCTGAGCTGGGACGCGGAGTGCCAGCAGGCTTTTGCAACTCTCAAGGACGCTCTGGCATTGGCCCCTATTTTGATTCGACCGGACCCCTCGAAACAGTTCATTCTCATCACGAACTGGCAACCGGAAGCTATTTCCGCTATTTTAGCACAGAAGGGGAACGATGGTCGCGAACACGTCATCGAGTACGCGTCACGAACCGTACCGGACGAACGAAGAAACGACTCCGCACCTCAGGGTGAGTGCTATACAGTAGTTTGCGGAATCCAACACTTCCATCCGTATCTCTACGGACATAAGTTTCGCCTCGTAACGGATCACGAGCCTCTGTTGGCGTTGAAGAAACTCACCAACTACACGGGCATGATTGGCCGTTGGGCGGTGCGATTACAAGAATACAACTTCGATATAGTCCATCGAAAGACAGAGCGACACAGCAACGCGGACGGGCTGACACGTCTGCACCGGCCTGCCAAGGTACCAAAGGGTGAGGAAATTACACCGTGGAAGGAGTCGGATTTGACCAACGAGCCGAAATACAGACAAGTGGCAGTTCTTCCACGTGGCAAGAAGTAAAACGGCGACGATGGGTGATGGAGGTAACCCGACTACCCCTCTCTCTCCCCCTTCCTCTTCGTCTCTCCTCTCCCTGCCCGACAAATTTTGCTATTTTTGCGAAGCTATTTCCCGCGTATATTCGGTTCCCATGTGTCCTAACGGGGAGGGGTATGCGGATTGGATAGATTGCCAACAGTGTGTTGCACGATCCCATGGCTCGTGCATCCAATACAGAAGCGAAAGTAGACCATGGTTGTGCCCCTTGTGCTGGACTGACAAGATTCCTACCGAGGCTCGATTTTTGGATGCCACGTCAGAAGGATTGGAAAAGACCCGAAAGTTTAGAAGGGTCGAAGTATGGACGGATATTGCCTTAATTGCCACCCTAGTAGGTTACCCCCTTCAGGATTTCGCCAAAGAAGACCGGAGGAGGGCCAACGAAAGGGCTCGGGATTATCGATGGGTAGAGGGTAAATTAGAAAAACGGAAAACGGACGGCGGTGGGATTTGGATGGTAGTGCCGCATCCGTTCATGCGGTATGACTGGGTTAAGACAGCCCACGAAGAAACTGCGGCTCATTTCGCCGTACGAATCACGGAGTCCGCTATCGACAAAAATGAGTGGTATTGGTCCAATATCCGCGACGATGTGAAGTACATCGTCGCCAACTGTCAAGTCTGCGCCAAAGCGTTGATTCAGCCCCCAAGATCGATAGTGCCCACGGTTGTTGAACGGCCATTTCAAAGAGTGAGCATGGACACTACCGACATAGTGGTGCCCCCTGGCCCTAATAGTTGCGAGTATTCAGTTCTACTGGTTTTTGTCGACTATTTCTCGAAATGGATCGAAGCGTATCCTTGTCGCACGCGGCAAGCCACGGAAATCGCGCGATATGTCAACCGTTTCCTCGGGATGCATCAAGATACGGAGGAAATCCTAACCGACAATGGGGCTGAATTCAAAGGAGAAGTGTTAAGAAATTTGGTCCTACACGGCGTCGCCATACGGAACACTGCACCTCACATGTCACAGTCCAACGGGCTGGTCGAAAACGCTAACCGGGTGATAAAGACAGCGTTGCGACGAAACATCGCGGCACAGGATCCGAGACCTTGGCCCGATATCGTCGATCATATCCTGGCGGTCCATCGGGGAGCCCCACGAATCAACGGGGCTAAGTCCCTTCCAATCAAGGAGCAATAGTGTCGCTTGCGTTTCGATACCGAGCCTCCCGAATAAGACTACATTAAACCGACGGCCCACTAGGGCCACGGCTCGGGACAAGGCCAAACGGCACCTAGAGTTAATGGAACGGTCGCTGCCCAGGCTAGCCCGAAAGCGACAGAAAATGACCGAACTAGCCCAGGGCCGACAGGTCCGGAGCTACGAAGTCCGAAATGGGAATGCCGGTCCGCAGCCCCAGTACAAATTGGGGGACGCGGTGCAGGTGAGGAAATGTGCTCGCCAAGGTAAGCTAGCGCCACGATTCTTCGGGCGATATCGCGTGATCGAGCTCGGCCCCAACGGCGTGGACACCGTGCGCCTCGCCCCTGAAGTCTCTGGCAGTCGATCGGCTCGTCCGATCACACGCCACGTGTCCTATCTTCGCCTCCTTCCCTCTGCTCCGTCTCCCTCTCCCTCGATCTCTCTTTCTGAGGTAGCCGACGACGACGGCTCGGACTCTCTGCCATCTCCCTCCCTTTCTCGCTCCCTCTCTGCCTCCCCGTCACCATCGCCATCGCCATGAGTTTTCTGGAGGAGAGAGCCCTCAGCGAAGCAGCGCTTGCGCCCCGTGATCGATTAACGATCCGGCAGGTCTATCATCCCCACCTCAGTCCAGATCTTCGGCGGCTTGCGCACTTTTTCTGTACGGAAGGCGTGTATGCAGCGGCGGTGTTCAGAATCGAGGGCCGGCCCAACGCAGTGGTACTGGCCGAGGCAGTAGCAGTTCATCAGCGAGCGGTGCCAGGTGTCAGCCGCATATCGGTCGTCATTAACTTCCGTGGCGATCTCTCCACGCTCCTCCCTTTACGACATTCGATGGTGAGGACATCGCTGCGTGCGTGGGCAAACGATCTGGTCGCCGAGTGGACCCAGCTTCTGGCTCATCCCGGGGACACGGTCGCGGCGACACAAGCAATCGAATACGACGGCCTTCGAATGTACCAGCGTGATCCGTCAGCGGTTCTCCCTGTAGTTGTTCCCTTCCCTCGCCCCCAATGAGTCTCTCTCCGATCTCCGTATTTGATCTCCCCTCCACCTTCCCCACCTTCTGGCAGTCCGATATCCATCCTCGCCTTTCCTACTCTCTAACGACCCTTGCTGTCCCCGACATTCATCCCCCACACTGGGAACTGTGGCGCAAAGACTTTATCGAGCTTTCCCTGTGCTTGGTCGAAGTACGGCTGACGTGGACCGAGGGCGAAGCGCACCCGCCTTGCATAGAGCGACTGGAGTTGCTGTTTATCCAGGCCTAGCGCACCAACGTGGAGGGAGAGCTCCTCGCGTTCCTATTCGGTACAATACGGCCCGGCCATCAAGAACTTATCACGCAAGAGCTCACGATTCTGATAGCGCAGTTGGCGGACGATCTCCCTCTCGACATCATCTCGCAGGACGACGAGCACCCGATTCCTCACGTGCTTTCTCGCACGTTGACGCCGTATCTCCAGTGGTCGGCTTGTGTGGAGGGAGCCGCAGAGTGCATCCCGCCGTCATAGCAGCAGTATTTGGATTCCTGGACGGTTCACAATCCTGCTTTCTTCAGGCATCCAACGGCAGAACAGCTTGCTGCCATTCGAGAGGAGGAAGAGGAGGAAGAAAACACTGAGAGGGACGAAGGAGAAGACGAACGGGAAGAAAGTGGGGAAAGCAACGAAGTATTCGGGGAAGAAGACGAAACCCCCGAAGAAGGAAGCTATAGCGAGCATAGCGAGGGGGAGCCAAGCGAAGAAGAAGAAGAATACGACGAAGGAGAAGAAGGGCACGAAGAAGAATCTGCTGGATCGGAGTGGGAAGCCGTGCCAGAAGAAACGTTGCGCACAGGAATAGAGGCAGAAGATCCCGAGGCAGCCCGTAAAAGAGAAGAGATCACAGCCGGGAAGACGGAGTTAGAACTCGCAAGCGCGGCGAGTCTGCAGATCTGCGACGACCCAAACCGAGATCCGGAGCCGCCCCGACCTGAAGATGGCGACCTCGCGGCCACGACTCCGGCCCCATCGACACGGCGACGAAGTCGATCCCCCTCCTCCCCAACCCGTCCCCCAGTTCGCCGACGTACCGATACGGGCGATCGGCCTTCATCCCCGATCACTCTCTCGCCGTCCCCTTGACTACCTCACCCTTCGCCAGCTCACCACCCCCGTCACGTTCCCCTCCAATCTGTTCCCCCGCAGTACCTTCCGCCACTTCTACGCCGCTCGCCTCGCTGTCGTAGTGCATCCCCATCCCTCCCTCCGGTGCGTCGTCCCGGCCTTTTGCCTCCATATCTTGCTTCTCAGTGCCGCGTGGCGAGGCCACAATATGATTGAGGTTTATTGCGTGATAACAGGGACCATCCCCGCATGCGAAGATCGCGATCGTTTCCGCGTGGCGCTCTTCCGAACCTTTACCACCCTCTACCCCGACTATCTCGCGTCCCTCCCTCGCACTGGCAATCGATTCCCCCGTTTCCAACGCATTGTTCGTTACCAGGAACTCCCGGAGACTGTATCCGGAATGGAAAGTCTCCTGCCCCCCCTGCCCATAAACCCTCCACCCCGCCATGCCGCCATGTATCGACTTCCCTTCCCCCCCCCCATTAATTACTGATGCAGCAGGTAATGAACGCGTGTCGCGGCGACGGCACGAGAAAGATCCCATCTTTGAATCGTCGAGAGCCCAATCTGAGGAACTGGTAGAAGAGCAGACTTGCCAACACTGGAGCATAAACTGTCATCATTGCCCAATCCGTGTCAAAAGCGGTGACCACCTACCCAATCCCATCTACCCCAAAGATCTATGTTATGGTCTATAATTTCGATTGGGAGATCCCGATGGATAAGGATTGCTACCCCCCCTCTGGTGCCCACTGCTGGGGACCATAGCTGTGGACCGTCCCACCATAAGCCTAGTTCCGCGATTTTTTGTTCATCTAGCTTTGTTTCCTGGATGCAGGCTATCTGGATGCGATTTTTGTGAAGCCATGACTTCAGTCTCGCTCTTTTGCCCTTCTTCGAAGTGTCTCCCCGACCCCGTAGGTTCCAGGAGACAATGTTGCATCTATCCATTCATCCTACCTTTTTGTCCCCTTGATTGGATGGTGGAAGCAGTGGTCTGACCCTTTGGGTCTATGTGCGGTTGGCCTGGCCTTGAGTTGTGACTTCCCTGCCTAACGGATGAGCTTGCTGCTGATGTGGATGACCATTTCTGTGCAAGAATATTTTTCAAGTACAAAGATTGCAGCAGCTTGTTCTTGGGCAATCTGTCGTTGATTTTGCTCAGGAACGTCGCATCTGAGACATGCTGGACTAACATCTGCTGAAGGGATTCACGGTCCTCCTCGACGAACAGTGAAATTGGAATTAGCCTCATGCCCTCCATTAGGAGGGCATCCATCTTCTCAGGGGCAATGCAAGCATCTAGTATTGGTACAAAAAATTTACAGTTACGATCCGTCAGTTCTACATAAAATCTGGGCAAGGCCATATCCAGAATGATCCTGATGGGGAAACGGGTGCCAAAAATGTGCTTTGCAGTGGTTAGGATGATTTGCGGTGTTACCGGCTCTTCAACCATCTGGGTCAGAAAATTGATCTTCCCGTTATCAGGCTGCCATGTGATTACATGAATGGCGCCATTCACGATTGAACAGATGAAGGGGAGGAGCCATTTCTCCAAAGGAATGGTTTGCCCCCTGCTGTAATAGCCCTCCTGCTTTTGGAAGTCTTGACCCCTGGCTGTGCTAGAACTGTACCCGCATCGCCTGACCGAGCCGACGTAGAAGATTCGGCTATGCTACTGACCGACCCTCTCGACCTCTCCTGCATGGGCGCATCCTTGTCGGGTGCTGTTGTTAGCAGGAGCGGTCCGTTAGGAGTTGTACTTGATCTCACCACTCTGGGGATTTTGAGGGGAGACTGGCCTCTCGTACTCCGCTGAAGTGAGGCGGCGACTGAGGAGGTGGCCCCGTCGCCTGAAGGCTGCCTTACCTTGGAGGCACTCTAGCTGGACTGAGGGATTGGAGCAGGGGTGTGGGTAGAAGGAGGAGGGGGAGGGGGGGGGGGGGGGGGGGGGGTGGGGGGGGGGGGTAGGGTTGGGGCTCTGTGCCAGGGGGCAGTGGCTCCTGGTACATGGTCGCTGCCGCTTGCAACAGGTAAGCCATGGTGGGGATCCTCTCGTGATGGGGGTGCAGTGCATCTGAACCCTGCATTTTTGGCTGTGCACTCATACTTTCCCTATGATAGTTGAAGCCTGGATCCTGATTGTACCCTGCACGCGGGGAGAAAACTGGGTTCAGAACTGAAACCAACGGCTGATTTGCTCCTGTGTGTTCCCATGTCCAAGGGGGCGGCCCGTTTGGTGGGCCCGTCCGGCTGCGTGATCTGCTGCGAGATCTGCGAGCGCTGGGGCGTCCGGAATCTTGAGCAGCTAATTCCCCTTTATACCGAGGCAGTCTCGTCCTCACCCGTGCAGCGGAGGAGGAATCTTGGGAGGACAGATCATCCTCGCTTGTTTCCGATCTCGTGCTTCGATTTCGGTTGAAATTGCTTCTCCGGCGATTAGCATTATCCTTCCGCCTGTTGCATTGGTCTTCCGTGTGGAAGTACCATTTGCAATTTGTGCAATATGGGGTGGAGGATGAAGCGAGCTTCACCTCCACCATGTCCCCTTGTTTGGTTCTTACCAACACCCTATCGACGAAATGCGCTCGGTACTCCGGATCCAACTCACAACGAATATTCAGAAGGCGAGGATTCGAGGTGAAGCGGTATGGAGAATCCATTTTCAAAACTGGACCGATTACTCGATTGAGAGCGGCGTGAAGGTATACGTACGCATCTAATGGAACCTGGATCGCTAGGACCCAAAAGGTATTCTCCAGCTCAGTCTTGCGAAATTCTTTCCAGTCTACCCGGGTCATCCATGCCTTCATTTCAAACACATACCTTCTACCTTTCAACATAACAGCCCCATCTCCCTCATTCACCATCCATTGTGCTACCACCGAGTCTTTAGCCACGTAAGAGATTACGTTGGGTCCCTCAAATTTCACTCTCCCTCTTTCGACTGGTGGGTCGAAAGTTCCCTCCTTTCTCCATCCGTTTTCGTAAGCTCTTACTATGTCTTCCTTCACTTTCCTCGGCAGGTTCCTTGCTTCATCCCTAAATATTATCACCACCGTCCTTTCCTTTAACCAAGCGATTTTCAATTCGTCAAATTTCTCGTTTACAGTGACGACCGCTTCGTTTCCTTCTATGACCACATCATCAATCGGCACATCCTCTGGGGCGATTCCCTCATCGTAACATTTGGAAATGAGTATACGCGCCCTTTCATCGAATGAGTCCTCCTGGACCGGCTGAGGTGGTACCTCCGCCCCTTCTACCATTAAGTTTTCTTCCGCCGCTGCTGCGGCCATCGTGTGAGTGACCAAGTGCTTTTCCAGATTGCGTTGTTACGATGGTGACCTTGGCTATCGTGTGTAGTCCTCTGCCTAACTGGGCCGATGAATCGGACCCCGCGGTCTCACGGTAATGTAACCTGATATACGAAGGGGCTAGGCAATGGAATCCGCCTGCGATGGTGAGTGCGGTCTGTGTCATTCATGTGCGCAAAACAAGAGTATAAACTTTCACGAAGTGGAGGAGATCATGACGGACTCGAGCCCTCATATCATAAGCTGGCAGGTCAGTTTTCCTAGCAAAAATGCGGTTGTAAGATACTGCGCGTATTTATCCCTAGAAACTGGCAAGGACCATGGCGCCAAGGGTGTAAGATCTCCCGATTCTTCCTAAAGTCCCTTACCCCGTTCCACAGAGCGAGTACTCATAGCAGTTATGACACAGTAGAGATGTTCCGGCCTACTCGCCTTAACGGCCCTGACCCAAGACACAATCCCACCCTCTTGCGTACACCGAGGTGCTAAAGTGGCGCAATTACTCGGCGAGACGAATCCAACATGAGTCTCGGCGAGCAGTGCAATTTTCCGTGTAACCTGTCGTCGCGATTCAACGGGGACAGCATTCACAGTGGCCAACCGTGGGACGAAATACTTATCCTAGTCCACTGCTATCCATTCCGACTGATGCACCAAACGAAGAACACAACCATTCCCGATTCTACTTTCACTGACTTAGCAGAGCATTCACTGAGTAGAAGTATTACCCCACAGAGACTGCGGTGTCGATGTACATCTTGATAACCTCCCCGGCCGTGGAGCAACATCTTGTTCTCGCCAGAATCTTCCTCCGACAGCTGTTGATGGCCGCTGCTATTCCATTCTCTTTACTTCGGGTGCCAATACCCGATCCTGGGTAATTCCAATCAGAACTCTCACTGGGGCCACTCTACCATCATGGTAACCGGGGTCATGCGTGAAGAAATCACGCCGCCATAGCCAGGGCCATGGAGAGACGCCGTTACCGCAGTAACTCGCACCGGCGGTGGCGCGGGTACTGCTCGATGGGCCTACCGAGGACTCCGAGCAAGATTCGGTCGGCGGGCGAAGGCCACGAGCACTACACCAGCGCCGTTGGCGGCGCCGGGCCTCGAATTCCTTACCCAATGATTTCAAATAATGTCGTAGTACACCCCCCTGGGCAAGTATCACACTCGTGCGGATTTGGTTTGGCAAAAAAGGAAACAAGGAAAAATAAGAGAGGTAACTACGGCCGCGCTCAGTTGGTTAGGCAGACAAGTGACATTCAGGAGGTTGTGGGTTCCAGACAGACACCCGCCTGCAGCGCACAGAGCGCCAACCAGCTGTGGTAGTCCTCTGGATCCACTCTGACTCTGACTGTACCGGTGTTGGGGCAGGGGGCAACCTACCTCAGTTGGTTAGGCATGCAAGGAACATTCAGGAGGTGGTGGGTTCCAACTGCACAACCGCCTGCAGCACACTTAGTGCCAACCAGCGGTGATAGTCCGCTTGATACCTCTAATCAGTATTAGCAGGGTCCTTGGCCAACACGGGTGTGGGTGTGAGTGGGTTGTGTGTGGTGTGTGGGAGAGTGTTGGCCTAAAACACTGCTGTTATTCGGTTGGGGGTGGGGGACGCTGAAAAGGGAGGCGCAGCTACTGGCAAAATGCTCAGTCTTTGCATTAGCCGGACCCCCACCGGCGGCCCCATCCCATCCTTGACCACCATGGTTGGGGTGGGGGGCAACATGCATCCCCTCTGATGGCTGGAGGGAGACAACAAAGCCATGTTTGCAGGGGTCCCCTGTCTAAGTAAGCCTTAGGAGCAGTGGTAGGTAGGTAGGTAGTGAAGGTGAATTGAAAGAATTTAAGAGAATCGTCAAAAAGAGCTGCCCGATAAACCATAGGCAGAGGACAACAAACGAGGGGCTGTGACAAACTGTTTTGTCGGAGTTTCACCGACTCATCATGATGCTGAAAGTATATAGAGAACCGTCGGGATTGAGGGCTTCTCTGTCGGGCTGCTCCATCTATTGGTGGGGAGCGGTGGAAACCGGGTCCAACGTCCCATTGATACATCTTGTAACACAGAGATTGTTGTTTGTTGTTTTCCTGGGGCTGTGGGTTTTTCTCTTCTCAGACTCGGGCCTCCATTGTCCCGTGGAGCTGCTAGTGACACCCCTCCCCACCCCTTATCTATTAGCCCAGCCCTGTTCAGCAGCCCCCCTGTAGTATGTCTGTCCCATTTGAGCCCCTTAAACCCTATACCCTCTCCAACCTCATGCATATGACCTTCGTGATCCTTGAAGCCTGAAGCGCAAGCTGCAGGGCTCACCTTCCAAGAGTGAGATTTGTTAGGTAGATCTGTTGTTGTAGCCTAAGTTACTTGCCTGCTTTACAGCGTAAGGTGAGTAACAGTGAACTCAGGTCTCACAAGTCGCACTTCATAGCTAGAAACAGACGGTAGCCTAGTGTGTGTGGTACTTGTGTAGCAAGTGTGACTGGGGTCATGTAATGCAGGACCTTGTGGTGTCTGTTCTGACTTTCCTTCTGATCCCCCGTACAGCCTGTGAAGAGGTACTCCTATTTTTCGTTATTCCTAAGTTACAAAGTTCTCAACTTGATCGTATTTGTGCTGTAATGTGGTCACAGATGTGTCAGGAGCAAGAAGCCAGAGCTTATGAGATGCATAATAATAACCCTTGAGTCTATTTGTTCTCGAGTGAAAGCATCTCCGGGGGTTGTCAGATTTGCTGCTCCCTTCTGAGTCTTGTCCTTGCTCTGTAGCCTTGTCGAGGGGCCTGCTCCTCATTGCTTGCTCCTTGCTGCATGTAGAGCTCACGTTCTCCTCCCCAAATCGGAGTGGTTCAGCTGGTGGTGGTGGGGTCTTATACACATCTAGATGTGTATAAGAGACAGACCTCACCCTTCGCCAGCTCACCACCCCCGTCACGTTCCCCTCCAATCTGTTCCCCCGCAGTACCTTCCGCCACTTCTACGCCGCT